GACAAATAAATTCAGCAAAGTCTCAGGTTACAAAATCAGTGTACACAAATCAGTAGCATTCATATATGCCAACAACAGTCAAGCTGGGAACCAAATCAAAGACTTAATACTTTTCACAATAGCAACAAAGAAAATAAAGTATCTAGGAATATATTTAACTAAAGAGGTGAAAGACCTCTACGGGGAAAACTATGAAACACTGAGGAAGGAAACAGTGGAGGACATAAACAGACAGAAAACCATACCACGCTCATGGATTGGCAGAATCAACACTGTTAAAATGTCTATACTATCCAAAGTGATCGTCAGATTTAATGCAATCCCTATGAAAATACCACCATCATTTTTTGCAGATCTAGAAAAAATAATTCTATGCTTCATATGGAACCAGAGAAGACCCCATATAGCCAAAGCAACCTTAATCAAAAAGAACAAATCTGGAGACACCACATTACCTGATTTCAAATTATACTGCAAGGCTATAATAACCCAAACAGCATGGTACTGATATAAAAGTAGAGATGTAGACCAATGGAACAGAATAGAGAACGCAGAAATAAAACCATCTACCTACAACCAACTGATCTTCAACAAGGCAGACAACAACATACACTGGGGAAAGGAAGCCCTATTCAATAAATGGTACTGGGAAAATTAGATAACCAGAAGAATGAAATTGGATGCCTATCTCTCACCACATACAAAAATTAACTCAAGAGGGATTAAAGACTTAAATGTAAGACCTGAAACCCCAAAAATTCTGGAAGAAAACAGGAAAATCTCTTCTGAACATTGGCCTAGGCAAATAATTTATGACTAAGACCCCCAAAGCAAATAAAGCAATGACAAAAATAAGTAAATGGGACTTAATTAAATTAAAAAGCTTCTGCACAGCAAGGGAAATAATCAACAGAGTAAACAGACAACATACAGAATGGGAGAAAATATTTGCAAACTATACATCTAATAAAGGACTAATATCCAGAATCTACAAAAAATCAAACAAATCAGCAAGGAAAAAAACCAAACAACCCCATTAATACATGAACCGAAGTTTTTCAAAAGCAGACAGACAAATGGCCAAAAATATATCAAAAAATGTTCAATATCACTCATCATCAGGGAAATGCAAATTAAAACCACAATGAGAAGTGATATTACCCCTGTCCAAATAGCCATTATTAAAAAGTCAAAAAATACTAGATGTTGGTGCAGATGTGGTGAAAAAGGAACACTTACATTCTATTGGTTGAAATGTAAATTACTACAACCTGTATTTAAAATAGTATGGAGATTCCTTAAAGAACTAAAAGTAGAC